TTACTGTATACTTATATTTATTTCTTCTTTTATATTGTGGACTATTTCAAACATACTCAGAAATACAAAAGACAATATACTGAGTTTTCCTGTACTGATTACAGATATTCAAGAATTAACAATATGTTATATTTTTTATGTCAAATAGTTACACTCTCTTCAACTTTTCAAATGGTGTGACTTGCTATTATAACTTCAAATATGACTTGATAAATCACGTTTGGATAAGCAATACAATAAGTGTCATGTTTTCTGCCTGAATAAATACAGTAAGAGATTATCTGGAAAAAAATTGTGATACATTAAGGTTTTGAAACTAATTTATTTCCTTGATTATTAAAGAACAAAATATCCAAAAAATGGGTTCCTTCCTTATACTGTGTATTTAGTGCACAATATCTATTATGGTGGGCTTCCACGGCCAATTGATTATCTGCATCTAGTTATGGCTACCCTAAATCTTGAAGATTTCTATAGATACTCATTTATGTTCACTCATTCATTTCAATATGCACAAATTCACTCTGGAATTATTAAATTACATCTTTGTGTACAGATTAAGTCACCTCTTATGCACAATTTGTGAGAGTGATATGGTGGATTTTGTCAAATAATATAGATTTCATCTTTTTGTACAGCATTTAAAAACCTTAATTGAAAGGACTAGAATAGAAAAATCAGGAATTATTTTTTAATTAGCAATGCTTGCCAAAATATGCTTCAGTCCTCTACTATTCCTCTGTTATTAGTTTATCTATATTCTGAGATTGAACAATAAAGATGTTAAAATGAGCAACTAGTTACTGAGAGGTCACAAATAGTAAATACCTTGCTGTGATTCAGATGAGTAGAGGACATTACTAAATATTTCATATCTTGATTTTTAAGCACAACAAAGCCCACGGAATAAATTCCAGTGAGGTCAATAAAGCACAGATAAATTATTACTGATTACCTTAAGATGACACCAAATTTGGAATTTTGGATGAATATTGACGTTGGGAAGAATATTTTTGTAACCACAAATTTTACTATGTTTATCTATATTGATTGATTTTCTCACTTGGAACATATTTGAAGTGAGTGGTTACTACTAGACAGAAAAAAAATATTATCTACCACCCACTGCTAGCTATGCCAATGTCATATATTATAACATTAATTTATTTTTATTGCATTTTACATTAGCATATGCAGTGATGGATTTTACTACGGGGTTTTCATGAGTATTTGTGTGTGTGTGTGTGTGTGTGTGTGTGTGTGTGTGAGAGAGAGAGAGAGAGAGAGAGAGAGAGAGAGAGAGAGAGAGAGAGAAACTTGTGTGGGGGGTGGGGAGTACTTATGTGTGATTACAATTTGTCCTAGAATATAAATTCCTGCTTCTCTGAGTTGATATGACTGAGTGATTACTTACTAAGGAATGATGGTTCCCAAACTTTGGTGAGCCTTACCAAGGGACATAGGAGGGCTATTTTCCAAAGTTCTACCTGTACCTTTGCTCCTTAAGGCCTAAGGCACAAATGAAAGAAGACACTAGTTATGTTTAAGTCCAAGTCTCTGCTACTGGTGTAGCTGCAAGATGAGAATCACTGACTCAGATGGTATCTACAAAAGTTATAATGAAAGCCAGTCTGATGTGAAATAGAGGAGACCACTGTGGGAAATATATAGGGACACCAAGAAGTTCTAGGATTTCTAGAGTGTTTCTTCAGCATCTAGAGAATTATGCATGAAATAGCACAGTGTGTAGGCAAAGGATGTAGCTCAGTGGTGAAGCACCTGCCTAGAAAATAGAAAACCCTGGATTTAATGTCAAATACAGAAAAAAACAAAGCCAAAGTACATGGCTTTGTTTAAGAGCTAATACATTTTGAGGTGAAAAGATACAAGTAGCAACAACCTAGTAGTGATTATACCTAGAATTCAAATACTGGCTCCTTTCCTCTAGTCTAGTGTAGACTCTATTACAAAGAGCTCTTAAGAAAATGGGTAATTCTCACTCTAGGGCAGTATATCTATATATATGATAAGTCTGGAGCATCTTTCAATAATGTAAGGAAATGATGATAGAAAGAAAATCTACCCAGCAATGATGGGCTTTTATCAAAAGAACACATGAACTAACTGAAAGAGCTCCCAATTCCAAATGTAAGATTTCAACAAATAAAAAAAAAGTAGAATTGTACTGCATATAACATAAATATCCATGGGTCCATACTGATAAAAAAAAATCACTGTATATATAAATTGGAGAGGAGAGAGAAATCTCCTATGGGAAAATTGTAATTTATGCAAATAGAAATATTCTGTCATGAAGGATATGGAATATCATTTCCAACTTTGAAGGATGAACTGCAAATAATAACTTTCTTCCAAAGATTATACTAAGAAGCATTGTGTGCTGGCACAAGCCTATAATCCCAGCATTTGGGAGGCAGAGGCAGAAATGCTACAGGTTCAAGGTCAGCCTAACATATAGAGCTAGTTCCAGGAGACTTAAGAAAGGAAGAGAGAGTTGTTTTACAGTAAAGAAAGACAAATAGTACTTCAAATCAGGTGATCAAAGTCAACATCAATAGTCATTTCATATTGATCATTTATAACCTTGATAGAATTTGGTGAGGGTGGCACTTTATGTCTATAGTCTTCCTTTCCAAAAATTGTTATCCCAGTCTTACTATGAGAAAATACTAGATAAATCTCGATTGGGGAGTATTCTAAAACATATCGAAACAGTTTATCTTAAGTTTTAAAACTTATCAAAATACAAAAACAATAAACAAACAAACAAACAAAAACCCAAGAAAACCCAAGGAACTGCCACAGCCAAAAATCTTCAAAAAGACATGCCAACCAAGCCAGGCATGGTGGCATGTGCCTTTAACTTCAGCAGTCAGGAGATAGAGGCAGGCTGATCTCTATGAGTTCAAAGCCAGCCTGGTCTATAGAATGAGTTCTAGGACAGACAAGGCTACATAGTGAGACCATGTCTCAAAGCACCAAAATAAACAAAAAAGAGAGAGAAATGTGACAACTAAATAGAATGCAATATCTGGATGATATCCTGAAACAGAAAAAAAAGAGCTGTAAAAAAAATTAAGGAAATATAGAATATGATCTTTAGTTTATAATAATGTGCCATTGTTACATTATTTCACTAGCTCATTGATTGTAATAACTATATCACAGTAATAGGAGTGCAGGAAATATAAATGCCATGCTACATTTGTAACCATTCTGTTAATCTAAAATTTATCCGAATATTTACTTTAAAACAAGTAGATTTTAATTATAGCATCCCCCTATTAGGATAAATTTCTGCAAAGGATATTTTTTTCAGTAAGAAAATGATTAAGTTTTGGCATCATAGAATATTTTGTAGCATTGAATATTATCTACCTACAAAGAAACAGTGAACTTATTTTAATAAACAAAAGGAAATTCAGAGAAATTTTAATATATAAACCTTCACTTTGCTAAAAAAAAAGAAACATAACAGGAATGTCTCTGTGTAAATATGCTTATGAGATTAAGACATGGGAAATATATGTGATACATATAACAAGTTGTTAACTGTGCTAAGAGTTAGGATCTAGAGTGGGAGAAGGGGAAAGGAGATATTAAAACTGAAGATGTGTATAGTAGAGGCGGTAAGCAATGACATGTTCATTAATTCAGTCTATAACTTTTGTATAGTGGGATAAAGATTTGTAAAGAAACTATAAATTTATACAAACAGACAGAATAAAAAAGTAAGTAAATTATGAGGAAAAAGAACTCCTTTTGACTGGCAGGCTTTAGTGGTGGTAAGAATTAATAAGGGGCCAGCAAGCAAAGAGTAGTGACATCCTGGAAAATATAATGTCAGTCTTTAAAAGTGAATGACACCTATTTCTCAGATTTGCCAAGAGCTGCAAAAGTAGAATCTGTTGGCTATCACTAAGGATGTAGTGATAATGATTGCTGCTTCTGCCATGACCATGGGGATTCTTCTTGCCTTCAAAAGAAACTAACCTCTTCATTTGTTCCTCTCAGTACTCCCCTGGACATGTGCACAAAAGTGATTCTAAGGCTTCAGGAGTTTTCTCTATTTATACACTACCTTGTTCTCTTGGCCTTTAGAACAATGAGGACTCACTAGGGAGCTCTGAGAGCTTTTGATGAAGAAGTGACATAGCTTTACACAGGAGACAAAAATAGGAAGGGTCTGTATTTTCAAGAAGTTAAAATCAAATAGCAGAGTGCTGGTCCCTGGTGAATAAGACCAGTGATTCTCAAAATGGCAGAATTGAAAGGTGAGTTAAAGGCCATCTCAGCTCTCTTTAATACCTAATGCAGTCTCTATCTGCTGTGCTAGATCCTACCTAGGTTGTGATGCTGGGCTGCAGGGGAGATCATATTGTGGAGTCCCTACGACAAAACAATTTGCTTCTCATTGTAAATTTCTGGCAAGAATTAGATCTGTTAAATCTTCAGGATATAGGACTTGGAACTTCACAATGACCAAGTGTTTATTGAGTTTTATGCTGAACATTTAGACAGAGTAGAATGAAGTTCATTTTGCAAGTTGTATAGCTTATTTGCTGTGAGGTCTCTGGGCAGCATTTGAAGCTACTTTCCATCAACAAGAGAGGCAGCAAGACCTTGGCCCTAAATGATATGTGAGGTCAGCTTCCTAGCCAGGCACCAAGATCATTGAGTCAATTGGCTCTGTGGTGAAATAATTGTTACCATAAGACCCTGGAGCAGGGGTGGTGAAGTTAGGAAAGAAATGAGTCACACAATGTTCTAAATTAAAGAAACACATGCAGTAAATAGGAGTCCTGAGTTATGAGAATCTGATAAGAATTTTGTATGTGGTTTCAGTAGCTCATTGAAACAGTTTATAAAAGTTCTGCTGCTACATAACCTGAGTTATACCAGCAAACATTCCAATATAACATTACCAAACAAAAGACTGCAAGGCATGTTGTCAACCAATATTTTCAAATGACACTTACCTTAAAACACAAGTGTAGAATCCACTGTCTTGTGCCTCAGCTGAGTGAAACCATATTGAATCTTCCTCTTTGCTCATCCTGACCTCCGAAAAGATGATAGGCTCTTCCAAATCACCTTTGTTTTTGTACCACATGAGTCTGAGCCCAGTACTCTGGGCCATGCTATAATTGGTGCGAATGTAACTGTAGAAAAGGGCACATTTCACTCTGACAGGTTCGCCTGCCAAAGCCATGTAGGTCTTGAGATCCACTGACCAGTCAATGCAGCCATCCACTGAAAGAAAACAGGAAAAGACATGAGATGTAGGGAACATCATTCACAGTAACAGTGAGAGAAGTAGTCACTGCCATCATGAACAGGGAACTTTCTGTGAGTCAGAGCTTTGTAGAGATGGCTTTATTCAATCCTCCCAGTGACTTTATACAATACCCTAGCATCTTACTTAGATGTTAGCAAGTAGAGATAGTGTACTAGGTCTGTGTCCTTAGGTATTTTCCTATCCTCCACAGCAAATTCTAGGTAGAAATCTGTTAGATAAGCTTCTCCACAAGGCTCTCTAGCACTCCACACATGCCTATATAGTTATCTCGTGGCTGCCCAGCTAGGTCCCCCAGATCCTAGCTCCAGTAGAGTGGCCTGATAGGTGAATTGCTTCTATTAACCAGCAAATCTTTCCTCTGTGAGATAATATGAACCTAGACTGCTAGCGCTAGCGTGACACTGATATGCCAGTTTCAATTAATTCTGACTGATTCTTTGGTAGGAATCTTATAAAACTAGTGTTTCTAAGAGACCCCTGCCAAGACCAGGCCCGATCCTGAAATTAACACTTATAATCATACTTTAGAGATGAAAACCCTGAGATTCTGTTAAGAAGACCTTACCCAAGGACACAGAGGTAATAAATGGTAGGAAATCAGTCTCTGACCGGAGACTCTATGTATTCTTAACCCCTACCATACACTATCTATACCTATAATTGTGGCAATAGTCACTATGTTATTTACTTGTTGTTGAGAAAGCAATGCTGAGGTTGAAAGCATTAGGCACCTAAAGTGATTACTTGCTAATATAAATATATATTATATATAATACATTATTTTATATTGTTTTATATTATATAAAATGACATGTAAATATCATTTTCCCATGGTATGACCTATTAATATCAGACACTTAAACCTAGGTTGCTTTCTCTATATACCCTTAGGCCTCCCTTGTTGCTTAGGTGCTAAGTGCTCATAAGGATATTAATGTCAGCTTTAATCAAATAATTTTGGGTGGATAAATCTAACACTAAATAAATACAGTAAAATCTCCTTTTCCAGAAGTATTAGAAATAGATGCAAAAGATAACTTAGTATGCTATTCAATACAACTAGCATAGATATTACACTTCTGAATCCCTATTGTTTTCCAAGAATTCCATCAATGATGCTGTGTCCTTTTATATTACCTGATTATCCTTTATAAAACATATCATAAAAATGGGTAAGTACTTCCATTCTAAAATGATGTTTTGCTTATAATTCTGTAAGCTACTGTTTCCTTTTTCAGATATTAAGAACTCTGTAACCCAGTATGTTTAATCCTTTAACCTCAGTTGACAGGAAGCTTAGAGCCAAATGCAATGCTCAGAAGTAATAACTATCATACTTCAAAGTTTCACTTTCTCTACATGAAGGGTTATTGAACTAGGGTTCAAGGGCACTCAAGGGAAAGGTGCTCTAATAGGCTTTAGATTGTTGGCAAAATAATGTGCCTATTCACATAGGCATACTTTTCTGGGGAGATTTTATACTACACTTCATTAGATTGTCAAAGGAGTGTATAGCCTAAGAACTCCATGGGTTCTTTTTCATAATTATTGTGTGGTTTAGCAGAGCAAACCCATGGCCTTGTGCAAGTTAAGCAAGTATTTTCCTGCTAATTGCATGGCTTCCAATCTTTTTCTAATGTCATTTTTTCACTACCCTGGTTCAAATGGACTTTTATGATGAGCTCCTCAAGTAGTATGTGAAGTAGCAGAACAGTAATTGGCTTTGGATTAACAAATTTGACTTAGCAAAATTATCTTAAACTGTAATTACCATCCTGATAGGAAAAAAAAGTGTTTTTTTTTTTCATTTCTTTCCTAAACTCCTCCAGGTTAATCCTCTACCTGGTCTGTTATATGATCTAGATCATTGCAAGCTCAAGCTACATTTCTAATCTTAGCAGGCTAGTTTTGCCTATAAACTATGGGGCATGGTTGATATTTAAGACAACCAAAATATTTTCTCTTGAGTCACAACATCTATGCCCAACATCAATTTGTGACATTTAACTGCCATTAGAATTAGCTTTATCAGAACAGACCTTGAAAGCATGCCGAGAAATTACTTCTTGTTGAATACTGTCTGAACCACATGCATTTGGCTTGATAGATCTATGGTCCCTTTGCTTCTTCTTCCCTTGCTTTAGGCATCAGGGAAGGAGTATTTATAAATAAGGTAGTCAACAAGCAGAGAACAGAAATTCAGCAACTAGGGGAAAATACAATTTCTAAATATCATTCTTTTAATTTTTCCCCACTTTTAATATTCACAATACATGATTGCACCATGACCTGTATTTCAAGAGGCCTAAAGGAGTTTTCCCATAAGATAGACAAAGGGTATAATGCCAAGAATTATGAAGGCCCATATGATGCCAAATATTTTTTTTTTGCCACAAAACACATTAGGAGAAATCCATCCCCATGAATTAAGGTATCAATATCTAAAGATCATTAGACCACTACTGGATTCTAACAAGGGGGTTTGATTTGTTTTTATTGGGTTTCCATTCTTAGCAGTTCACCTGCAGGAAAAGAATGGGTGGCATAGGATATAGTACATTTATTTTTAGATTTGGTACTAGTGAAAGCAACTGCAAAGTATAGAGTGAAATTCAAGGCCTATGAAGTCTGGTGGAATGCCAGCATTAAGGGACCAAAATCTTGATTAAATAGGAAGCACAGAGAGATGTCAGAGGATCACAAAAATGGAATAGTGGGTAAAAGGTCACACATAACTGAAGTTTCAAGTGCCACCAAGAGTCATAAGTATAAGTTACATTGCTGCCACAAAGATATGGTAAAAACATATTCTACTTCCAGAACTGTTTGCATGTTGAACAGCCGTCCATGTTTGGAAAATAGCTGGAGATAGGCATCTGCGATGCAGCCGGCAAAGATAGACGCTATAGCCAAGTAGGTGACATGGTGGAACTTAGTAGTCCACAGAGGAGGCTAGTCTATGAGCTTGACCTCAACAACCCAGCATTCAGCCCACAGAGCCATCCGGACCTGGTCTATTCACAATTCCAGTGGCAGCTCTGTAAGCAGAGCCCCCACAGGGCTTCATTGAAAAGTGTTTTCCATATAGACTGTGTTCTCTCACGGGTGATTCCATAACCGTGTCTCTCTGATTCATTACAAGTGTGAACAGACACACCACAGGTAGGGAAACGCTGTTTTCTCCCAAATGGTGAAATTCTTCAGTTGGTGAAGTTTGTTTCAGAAAAATACATGGAAAATATAAAAGAGTGTCTCCTTAGTGTCTCATCTCTACCACCTTGATTCAGATCTCTGGAAGGCTCACAAATTATTACTTCATTTCGTCTTCTTGGCAGAAAATGCTTTAATATTTAAGCTTTCCAAAACAATTATAATGGAGCAAAGAAAGTCACTAAAAAATGTTCAGCGCTCTATTTTAATCATTTTTATTCCAATCTGCAAAAGCAAGTAAACAGGTCTGTAATTGAGGCTCTTGATTTGAAGATTCAAAACAGGGTATGCAGATGGATATTGTCATATCCATGCAGTTTATTTTGCCACAAGGAGACTACTAGGAGTGAAAACAACTAAAATTTCCAGCAAAATATCCTAGGTGACACCAGCAAAGCTGTTTAACCTCTTGATAATTAGTTTCTCTCTGCCATACATACCTGCCTTCAAAACAAAGCCCTGTGGAAAATGTATGAATCCTTGTAAGAGGATATGATGCCAACATTAACAACTATCAATACAATTTTAAAGGGAAAAAGAATGCTGAGTTTAGTTAAATCAGACTGCAATAGCCATTCACATTACAATTCTTTTACTGTTGTGGTGGGAAAATGGATATACAGCTGCACATATAATCACTAATTCTGTATTTTTACCTCACATTCAGAATTTGCCTCAAATTCCCCATTAAATAAAATGGTTCATTGGTCCATGAGAAACTGGAAATTCCAGACACTTAGATGACTAGTTTTGTTGCAATTTATAGCTTATGGCCTCTTAGTAACTTATTGTGTATGTTTAATACATTCATTTTTTTAACCGCGTATTTTTTTTTTTTTTAAAGAAAAAACTGTATCCACTAGCTATCCCATTTATTTTTATCATGGGTCCTTGCTCTTCAATCAATAGGGCAGTAATTAGGGCAATTCCAGAAATTTCCACTAGAGGGAGAGCTGCCCAAGTCTTTGTGTAGCACTCAAGTTCTCCCTGCCTACTTTCTCAAACTAAGAATTTGTTAAGGGGTCTAGCACTAAGCACTGGTTCTTGGGGAGGAATCACAGCACAGCTATGACGATGCACCACTGCGATGATAGAGGTAGCCAAAAATTGGAGATGCAGCAGATCTTTCTCAAAGAGGGGGAAGGAGAGCATACACAGAGCAAGTGAGTAGAGGTGGAAACAGTAGCAACAGCAAGAGAAATTCACTGAGCCCTTAACCTTACAATAGGTACACTAGATGTTTAGATATTTTGCAAAGTTTTTCGTTGTGTTTTTGTTTGGGTTTTTTTTTCCCTCTAATTTCATTCTCATGTCTAACCAGGAAAGAAAAGATTCAATAGTCCCATTTTACTAGTATGAAAACAAAAGCTCAGAGAATTGAAAGTGACTTGCTCAAGGTCACTCGAGGTGCAGTGCTAGCAGACACCACCTCCATAATGCCCCAGCCCAGATGAGACAAAGTGGACTCCAGAGCTTGGTTCTTAATGTCTGTGTTTCATATTCTTTCATGTATATACCTTTCCTCCTTCTAATTCACTATCCAGTAGAAAATTAAATTCTGCTTGATGGCATCTAAATTGTCATATGTATGCCCCAGAGTCCACACTTGTCTAGTAGAGTTGACCTTTCAAGCTGAGTCATAGTCTATGCCTGCATAAACACTATAGGAATAATAGCCATCAAGTAATATATGCCAATTATTCATCTATTAATTACACAATGCTTACAAAGTAATGAATTATTA